GACAGCAACTCAGGGTTCTGTATACAATAAACCCCTCATTCTGGTGACTCTTGCCTTTTACCTCTAACCTGGGATTCTACCTGATGATTGTATTGATCTAGGCACAACCACTACTTAGACCCCTACAAGCTCGTGGTGGACATCATCGAAATCGACGGTCGAACTGTCGTCAATTAGCGCTGAAGCTGGCAACTATCCTCGAAATGAGGAGCTATTAATTGTCATAGGTAAGCAGTAGCATAGTGACTGTATCCTATTAAATACTGCAACTCCCTGTGTATTAATTACCCGTTTTTGTCCAAGAGATCGCATCTCTTTCTCCTGAATAGGCCAGTCTTACCGAACGGCTGTTTCCTCGAGCCAAGCACTCTCGGTGGAAATTAACAAAACTTGTGATCTGAAGGTACTTCTTTCTGCATAAATGCACCCAAAACAAACCGATGGGAGCAGAGTAACCAGATGAAAGCGTGAGAGAAAACAGTAACAGCAGCAATAATAATAATAATAATAATTGAGGCCATATTAGGCCCAAAACGAATGAAGTACGAAGAGTTGGGAGAGAGGATGGTGAGGAAAGTGGCAGTACATCAGATCCAGAAGCGGCAAAGACGAGACCCGAAAGGAGACTTGTACAGAGGCGGGAAGAAACAGGGACAACTATACAAGATGAAACAAAAATAGAGGTGAGAGAAACAAAATAAAATAGTGAAGGTCGTCGACGAGACCAGACCTCAAGACAAATGCAGAGGCTTGTGGGACGTTGAAGGCGATGGTCTAAGGCGTCTAAGGTGCTAGGAGTGACTAGACCTGCGGCATAGGGACCTCCTCGCGAGGCCGGGCCTCTTTCGACAACAACTGGTTTCCAGCGTCCACAGCTCGCGGCATGGCCTCCAGCCTCAGTCGAGGAGCCGCCAAGTCTAGAAAGGCTGTCGAAGTAATGGGAGAGTATTTGACAAAGGAGGAACGCGGTGAAAATGCCTCACACGAGCCAACTGCTGCTCCTCCAGTCGCCGGGAAGACTACGGGCGAATGCGGCGTCTTCTGGAGACCGTAGTATAGAACTGAGCGCAGAAACAGGTCCAGCCCGGTGAGGGGGTACTCGAAAAGCAGGCGTGGACGATGATCAGGCGGT